AATTCATGCCAGATTAGCATCTCAGAAACTAAGAGGAAATGATTTGTACTGTACTACCTCCACCATTGCGGGGGGCCCCGCCAGACCACTCTCCGGCCTGCGGAGGTGGCCCTAGGATCCGTAGGTGCTGGGAAGGACCGACCGAATGAACACGAGACACAAGAGACAGAATGCAGCTCAGAAACAGAGAGAAAAAGGGACAGGGCTTTATTGGGGGCAATCAGGGTATATATCCATTAGTGAGGCAGCTACACAAAAGGTCGTGCCCATATATGGTTAGGAAGGTTTGTTTTCACCTATCATGCATTACAAGGTTTATGTGTATCTGGTACCAGACACGAGGTGATTACACAAAGGGCCATGTCCATATGATTTACCAGACATGAGGTAGATACACAAAGAGCCATGTCCATATGATTTATAAAATTTACATGCATCACATACCAGACACGAGATAGTTACTTCTTGTTATTACTGACAGCCATGACAGATGTTCTCTCAGGATAACCATACATCAAGATAACCATACATAGCACTGGTTTTGCCTGTTGCAGGGTCACGTAGGTCAAGATGACCATACATAGCACAGGCTGTGCCTGCCGTGGGGTCGTAGGTCAGGATGACCATACAGGCACTTAGGCCTTGGTCAGTTAAAGGGCCAGCTTCCCACATCTCCCCCTTCCTTTATTATAAAAGACGCCAGCTAGGGGGAGCATTGACTGGGTCCCTCCAAAATATCCAGAATACCTCTGTTTTGCGGAGGGGAGGAGAGTGGAAAAAGCCCGTTTTCCCCTGATCACCCTACTAGTGGAGGGGAGCCGCGGAAAAGGGCCAGCGCTAGGCAGAGGAAACCTCCATGCAGGCCCAGTGTACTCCACAGGGAGTCGGAAGCAGCCATGAGGCCTCCCTTGCAGTGCTTTGCCAGACACCTAGCGGCTGAGAAGAATGGAATAGGGTAAAGTCCGACTCTTTCATACCCAGAGTGTCAGATCAGAGAGGGGCGGGAGAGCTGGCCAAGAACAACTCAAGGATGGGTCCAATCAACTACGACCCGCGAGCTGTCCTCTGCAGCAGCAGATTTTGCGGCCGCACAGTCCAGGGAAGCATCTTCCATTGCCAGGCGGTGGTAATGTACTTGTATGGGGTTGGCAGATAGAGAAGCTATCTGTTGTCTAACAAAAGTGGTAATTCGATTAAAAATGCAGGGGCCCACAGTAGCAATCAATAAAAGGGCAGTCAGGGGACCCAAGAGTGGCAACAAGTAAGGAAGTAGAGTGTGCAGGGCCCACCCAGAGCTAGAAGACTCACGTTCCCGACGTCTCCGCTCTAAACCTTCCCTTAATTCACGCATGGAGTTTTTAATCACTCCATTGTGGTTAACATAAAAGCAACACTCTTCCCCCAGGGCAGCACACAATCCCCCCTCTTTCATAAAGAGCAAGTCCAGTCCTCTGCGATTTTGAAGAGCAACTTCCGAAAGAGATGTCAGAGAATCCTCGAGGTGAGAGATGGATTGTTCAAGGCGCTCTAAATCGGCATCCACGGCAGCGCGAAGTGTAGCTAGACCGGAGTGCTGAGATGCCAGGGCGGCGATGCCTGTGCCGGCGCCTGCAAGGCCAAGGGTGAACAGGGTGGCGATGGTGATGGCGGAGACAGGCTCACGGCGGGATCGGTGGGGTGAGGCAACATCGCGCGGGGACCAGTAATCATAAAGGGTGGAAGTTGGGTGATACAAAATACGGGGGACCACCAGAACAGTCATACAGAATTCTGAAGATGAGTCAAAAACAGAGGCAGCGAGATGAGGAGTCAGGCCTGTCACTGAGCAGAGCCACCAGGCATCCTCGGTCGGGGTTACCCAGGAGGTGGGGGGAAAACGCGGGTCTGGAGTGATCCGGGTGCAGTGGCTTACGTAGGCTGAAGGAACGGAGCCGATGCAGTGGCCGGAGCCAGAGGTCGAGGATAGAGAAAGGTGAGGATGTCGAAGTCCCAAAGGGGGTCCCCAAGACGAGGGAGGCGAAAGAGAGATACCATAGGAAGCATTGTGGCCAATAGCATCAAAAAACGGGGGGGCCGGCTGAAGGCAAAGCCAGCAGGATTCCGTAAGTGTTGGGGAAGTCGCATTCAAGGATGCAAAGGAGGCGGCCACTAGGGCCCTGAGGGCGTCCACAGAACTAGACGGGAGAGGTGGCAGAAATGGCGGGGAGGAGGTTAAGGAAGGGGGAGATGTTGTGGGAAGTGTCGGTCTGATCTTTGGAGTTGTAACGGCGACAGGTGGATGGAGTGCGGGAGGCGAAGGTGATGGACCAGGCTGTGCATCCGGGAGGGCTTGGGATACCGTGCGGCGAAGACGGAGAAACCACCCGATCGGGTGCCCTGCTGGGGTCGAGCCACTCAAGGTGACTCCCCAGACCAGGCCGTTAGCGGCCCACCGGGAAGGGGGAAGGGTTCTCCCTGCTAGGGTGAAAGAAAGCCGAAAATTCCTACAAGTGGAGTCGCCTGCAGGGGGGCGACAGCTGGATTGACCAGCGGGAGCAGAGAGGTGAGAATAGGAGATGTAATCTGGGCGGGTGCCGAAAGCCCTGACGGCTGTGCTGGAGGACGCACAGGCTTTTGTGGCACAGAAGTAAACTCGGTCATCCCCGCACGCAGGATCCGACGTGTGTCCAGGGCACAAGAAATGTGGCATGGACCAGCTGGAAACACAAGCTGACTTGGGCACCGGGGTGCTGTAGTTATTAGCTACATGACAGTAGTCTACCTCTAAGTTAGGGAACCAAGAGAGGGTTTGGAGAGCGCATCGCTTCTGAATGAGTGAGGAAACTGCATGACGGGGAGAGTCGAATGTTTGTAGTTGTTCAAAGTACACCTCCCAGCAGATGGGGAGTGGCTTATAATCAGCAGAGTTAGCGGGAGTCAAGGAAGGCTGCTCCGTCGGAGTAGCGCTTCTGGGCAGAGACTGGGGAAAGGTCCTGCGAATGCCAAAGAGAAGACCAGGGGCTGTTCCAGCATACAGACGCAATCCCCAAAGAAGGCCACCCCCTGCCCATCTCGAGAAGGCTAGTGCCCTGCCATTAGACGTAAAGGAAATGCGAAGAAGCTTACAATAGCGATCACCCGCAGGGGGCTGGCATGGGATAGTATCAGGATATCTCTGTGCTGAAGAAAGAGTGATTAAATCGGAGGTGGAGGAACGAACCCAAGAAGCAGTACCGGTGGTCTCACAGCCCCAACGCTTGCAGAAAAAATCAGTGGCATCTCCACATCCTGAGACCCTCTTATGTCCCGGGCAGGCGTAGTTCTCTGTTTCCCACTTAGCCCGGCAGGAGGGACGCCAGGACAGGGGAATGAGCGAGCAGAAGTCCACCTCTAAGTCAGGAAACCAGGAGAGGGTTTGTAAGGCGCACTGAGAAAGAACACTCCGGTCTCCATCTGCTTCCCGTGCGAAGACTTGCCAGCAGATAGGAATTGCCCGGTGGGGTTCAGCAGGCAGAGCGTAGGGCTTATGAAGGTTCCATGAGGTCAGCAGAGTCAGGGTCAGAGGCAAGAGGATGTTCCCTGGGGCTGACATCTGAAAGAGAGGGAGAATGTTTCTCAGGGTCTTTAGGATCCCTGGAAGGAATTATAAGATCCGTTTGCCGGAGCAGCCTCTCTGGGAGCCAACGTGCAGCCCCCTCGCGAGTGTCATAGACACAGGCGTGTCCCCTGCCCCAGATCAGGACTGGGTCCGGGCCATGCCACTGAGCCGTGAGTGGATCCTTCCATTTAGCCATAGCATAGGAGTTTTTCGAATTAAAATGCCAGAAACGATCTGCAGCGCTACGGCCATCCTTGTCCAGACTTAGGAAGTTGAGCACAAACTGTACATGGGACAGCAGCGTCTTAGGAGAGCTGGAGGCAACATATAGGTCTCTTTCCTTTATCAATTTGGAGATATACATTTTAAGAGTAGAGTGGGCTCTTTCCACAATGCCCTGGCCTTGCGGGTTGTAGGGAATTCCAGTGGTATGCTGAATTTGGAGCTTCTTACAAAAGTCCTGGAACCTCTTCCCTGTATAACCCGGGCCATTGTCTGTCTTGATGCACTGCGGCTTCCCCAGGACAGATAGGCAGTAAAGGACGTGATTGATAACATTCTTAGAGGCCTCGCCTGTCTGAGCAGATGCACATATATATCCGCTAAAGGTATCTATCACCACATGGACATATCTAAACCGTCCAAAAGAAGAGACATGAGTAACATCCATTTGCCAGAGTGCATTAGGAACCAACCCCCTGGGATTAACTCCCAGGTGTGGTGTAGGTAGAAAGGTTACACAAGACTGGCACTGTTTTACGATTTGTCGGGCCTGCTCTCGAGAGATTTTAAACATCATTCTTAAAGTATTAGCATTAAGGTGATGAAGTGCATGAGCCTTAGTGGCCTCTGATACGGGGTCTGGACTGGCAATAGAGGCTGCAATCAGCCGAGTAGCCTGATCAGCCTTGTCGTTGCCTTCAGATAGTGGGCCGGGGAGCCCGGAATGGGCTCTCAGATGGCCTATAAAAAAGGGGAGCCGGCGGGAGCGGATGCACTGTTGGATCTGTAAGAACAAACTGGTCGCCTGAGAGGATTCCTTAATATAGCTGATAGTTTCAAGGAGCGGGACAGAAAAGGCTACATAGGCACTATCTGTGTATAGATTAAAGGCTGTCTGGGGGAAGTCTTGAAAAACTTTACAAACGGCCGACAGCTCCACCAATTGGGCAGATGTATAGTCCGTGCGAGAGGAGACAATGTTCTCTTGGTGCACGTACGCTGCCATCCCACTAGAAGATCCGTCAGTGAAGATAGTGGGAGCCCCGGGGATGGGGTTATTGCTAGTGACAGTGGGGAAGATCCATCTGTGGATCTTGCAGAATTGAATCAGTCTGTCTGGAGGGTAATGATTATCTATGAGTCCTTGGAAGGAGACACAGGCTATGGGCCAGTCATCGGAATTCTGGAGTAGCCAGTTTACCTGGTCCCGGTCGTAGGGCTGAATGATGGTGGTCGGCTCCAAGCCGAAGTATTTTCTGCAATATTCCCTCCCTAGTCTAATCAATGAGGAAACAAGGAAGTAATAGGGAGTGAGGACTCGTTTGGGAGTTGAGGGTAGAGACAACCAGGAGATGGGATGGGTCTGCCAAACAAGACCTGTGGGAGAGTGTGGGGTCGCAAAGATTATCAGAGAAAAGGGGAGCTCATAGTCCATGGTAACAATGAACTGTTCATCAATGGCGCGCTCTACGAGGGCAAGGGCACGTTGGGCGTCATCCGTGAGTGTACGGGGGGAACTAGGATCCGGGTCACCCCGAAGAGTGTCAAATAGGGGCTTGAGATCATCCTGTGTCAGTTTAAGGCAGGGTCGGAGCCAGTTAATATTGCCTAGCAGCTGCTGAAAGTCGTTCAAAGTTCTCAATTTGGAAGTCATGAGCTGAGCCTTTTGAACTCTGACCCTGGACTGCTCGATCTGAAAGCCTAGGAAGGAGAAGGGGTCACTCATCTGAATCTTATCTTGAGCTATGGAAAACCCCGCATGGGTCAGGGTGTCAATCATAAGTCCGCAGCAATGCATAACTTCATCTGAGCGCGGGCCTGCAAGCAGGATATCGTCCATATAATGGATGATGTAAAGATCCGGCCATTGTTCCCTGACCGGGGCCAGAACACTCGCAACGAACTTCTGACACAAGGTGGGACTGTTGGCCATTCCCTGAGGCAGCACCTTCCATTGAAAGCGCTTCATCGGACCTCTGAAATTTGTAACCGGAACACTGAAGGCAAATCGAGGGCGATCAGCAGGGTGGAGGGGGATTGAGAAAAAACAGTCCTTTAGGTCAATTACGATTTTGTGCCATAGGGAGGGAATGGCTACGGGGGATGGCAAGCCAGGCTGTAATGCTCCAAAGACCACCATGGTCTTGTTTACTGCCCTTAGATCCTGGAGCAGCCGCCACTTCCCCGATTTCTTCTTGATCACAAAGATGGGCGTGTTCCAGGGGGAATTGGTCGGTTCTATGTGTCCAGCAGCGAGCTGCTCCTGCACTAGCGCCTCCGCTGCGGCCAGTTTTTCTGAGGACAGGGGCCATTGATCTACCCACACAGGGTCATCTGATCGCCAGATAATCTTATCAGCGTGGGGTACAGGCAAGTCAACAGCCATTATGGTAAATTTCCCAGTCCTAGTCGTCCCACAGAGGGGGAGGGCATCACGGGTTCAGTGAGGCCCTGGGAGTGCCTTCCCAGACCCTGGCCAGGAAGATAGCCCTGCTGAAGTAAGAGATCCAGGCCTTTGGTATCTACTAGGATCAGATCCATTTGGGACAGGACGTCCCTTCCCCACAGATTAACAGGCAGGTCGGGGAGGACATAGGGGCGGACGTGGCCTTCCTTTCCTTCGAGGGTCCGCCACTTGAGCTCAGCAGAGCTCAACATCGGGTTTTTTGAATGGCCAATCCCCTGCAGGTGTGTTAAAGAGGGGGAGATTGGCCATTCTGGCGGCCAGTCCCTGGTAGTAATGATAGTAGTATCAGCTCCAGTATCTATAAGGCCAGTGAAAGATCTGCCTAAGATGGTGAGGGTCAGGAGTGGCTTACACTCCTGTATAACCTGAGCCCAGAACACCCCCTGTGGCGGGGGGCCGGTGGCACCAGGGGCAGCGCTGGGTGGGATAAGGAGCAATTCAGCAATGCGGGCACCCAGATCTATACTCAGGAATGAGGACGTGGTCACGGCCATAACGCTAAGCTGGCCAGTGAGAGTATCATCTATAGTGCCAGGGAGGACCTGGAATCCCTCCAATATAAGATTCCCCCTCCCGATAATGAGGCCAACCATTCCAGCAGGCAGGGGCCCCTGGAAATTGACTGGGATGGGCTGAGGTCCCTGTGCCTGGGTTAGGATTGTGGGGGAGGTGGTACGGAGGTCCAATTTGGAGCTGCCTGGGATGGCGTGCAGGAGGGAATCGAAACCTGAGGCGGAACAATGGCTGGAGGCGGGAGGGATTGAGGGGGAAGGAAGGGGAGTGCCCCAGCTGCCTGCTGCATTACGGGGCCCTGGGGCCGGCCCCGCGACAAGTTTCCCGAGCGAGAGGCAACTTCAACCCGGCACTCTGATGCCCAGTGGTACCCGTTCTTACACTTGGGGCATAATTTCTGGGGTACACGCGCCCTCCCCCGCTCTGGGCAGTGGCGCCAGAGATGACCAGGCTTGTTACAGCCAAAGCAGACTCTAGGGTTGGCTGGAGCGGTCACGGGAGTATTGGTCAAACTTTTAAAGGCCGCCCCAATAGCCAGTCCCATTCTTTGAGAGGCTGGGTCTACATCGGCGCACAGGCGGAGGTAGTCAGAGAGGGTCTTGCCCCGTTTGTGAGGACGGAGGACGCCCTGGCAGACAGAATTAGCATTTTCATAGGCTAGGTGGCGAATAAAGTCGTTATCAGTGTCGCCTCCCCCCAGGAGGCGCTCAGCAGCCTCCACCAGGCGGCCAACAAAGTCATTATAGGGCTCATTAGGGCCCTGGCGGACTTTGGCAAGAGAGGTGACAACGGAACTCTTTGATGGGAGTCCCTTCCAAGCCTTTAAGGCTGCTGCCTGAATCTGCGTGAGAAGGCCGGGGGGAAACTGAGCCTGAACCTCATTAGAGGAAAAGGGAGCGTTACCCAGGAATTTGCTCAGTACCCAGGAGGAGGAGGACCCTCCCGCAGCAAGATTCCGCTGGGCCATATCCTGACAACGATCATGGTAGTCTGCCTTCCAGAGCAGATAATCTCCGCGGCTTAAAACGGCCCGGGTCAGGGAAAACCAATCGTTAGGGGTGAGCCAGATCTCACTAAGGGATTCTAAGAGGCTCAGAGTAAAGGGAGCGGTTGGGCCACAGGAGGTAACAGCATCCTTAATGTCTTTAATATCACTAAATTTCAGTCTTTCATAGCGCTGTCGCCCATGGGCTTCCGCATGGGCCTCCCCTGGCTCGAGATCCCTCGCATCCCTACCCCGATTAGGAGCCTCCTCGATGCCCTCACGGTCTTCTGGGGAGTCTGCCTCTTGGGCTGCTCCCTCCCTCTCCTCCCCTGAAGGGGCTTGAGGTGAGAGGCCTCTACCAGACCTGAGAGCAGGAAAGATCTGAGGGGCCTGCGGGGGAGCTTTAAGCGGCTGGCTCTGTGAATCGGGCGGGGCATTTGGGGATAGATCAAGTTGCCTGATTTGCCCCAGGAGGTCCAGGAATTCCTTCTTTTGTTGCAAAAAGGAGCGAAGCACTTGCGCTTCTTGCGCCAAGCGGTGGGTAGCAAGACGAAAGTCGGAACCCACAAAGGACGGTGAAAGATAATTGCTCGCCCCGAGATAGACCTCCGGATTGTATGGAGGGGGGCGGAGAGGGGAGGCAAGGGGGACCTTTGGGGGCCTCTCCGCTGTACGAGAGCGTGTGGCTGCATCCGTGAGGTCAGCAACGTTCTCCGGGGGAAGGGCATCAGAGTCCAAGGAACGCAGAGGGGAGTGCTTGGGGAGGGGATCCCTGATGGCTGGATATAAGCGGGGCATTAAACACTCAGAGGAGTCGGACTGGGATTTTGCAAGAGGTTTCTCGGGTGGCTCCCTGATGACTGGATATAAGCATGGCTCCAAACACTCAGAGGGGTCGGGCTGAGAGCCGGCGGGAGTTTTCTCGGGTGGCTCCTCAGGGGGCATAGGGATGGATATGGAGGGACAGGGGGATCTACGAGGTTCCTCTGATTCTGCGAGGGGGGTGGGGGAAACAGAAGGCGGGGGAGAAGGCGTGCGGGAGTGAGGGTTAGAAGGGCGATAATCTTTAAGAAAGGTCTCAGAGTCTTGGACTACCTGATGGGCGTCTGACTGAACATGTCGGACGCGAAGGACCTCATTAATGAGATTCCAATAAGAGAAAGTCGGAACGGGGATTTTCTCGGGACCAGACGTCCTGTAATAGTCTTTAAGACAGTCTCCTACACGGCCCCAACGTTTCTCATCGATGGTGCCCCCTTGAGGGAACCAGGGACAGATCTCCTCGATAAGAAGAAAGAAATCTATGAGATCCTTTTTCTTGACCCGGATACCCCTGTGCTTAAGGGAGGTCTTTAAGCCACGAATAAACAATTCCTTCTTGCTTAAACTCTGACCCATTTTCAGAGGTCAGGAAAAACAGCGTTCAAAAATACAGATACACGCAAATATGCAGATCACGAAAAAGAAAATGAAAATTATAGGAAGGAGAGAGGGAGTAAGACAGACAAAAGGAACAGAAGGCAGACAGGACATGAAGAGAGACGAGACAGGAGATGGGTCACTGGAAGGCTGTTCCCTGCGTGAATACCTGGGAGAAACAGACACAAGACACGGGGGAGGCCCAGCAAAGGGGCCCACTCAGGTGCTTGCCTGGCCAATGGGAAACTTAGCCGTAGTGGATCAGCCAAAGGTGACTTGCGGCCGACGTCTAAGTCAGCACCACCATAGACCATATGTTTCCCGTGGAACCGCAGGCAGCCCAAACGGATTCCGTAGCCTTTTCGGGGACCTTAAGGGTGCCCAGCCGTGGAACCACAGACTCGAATCAGAAGCGAGGACGCCTCTGACCGCTCATTCACTCACACACACATTCCACAAAGGACACGACAAAGGGGCGCAGGGGGGCCTTATCCAACCCAGTGACCGTCTCATATACCTCATATGAGACTGAACACTCAATTGTAACACAGACAGGAGGACTAGAAGGCAGAAAAGAAAAAACATGAATAGAGACGAGACAGGAGATGGGTCACTGGAAGGCTGAAGCCCCGCGTGAATACCTGGGAGAAACAGACGAGAGACACGGGGGAGGCCCGACAAAGGGGCCCACTCAGGTGCTTGCCTGGCCAATGGGAAACTTAGCCGTAGTGGATCAGCCAAAGGTGACTTGCGGCCGACGTCTAAGTCAGCACCACCATAGACCATATGTTTCCCGTGGAACCGCAGGCAGCCCAAACGGATTCCGTAGCCTTTTCGGGGACCTTAAGGGTGCCCAGCCGTGGAACCACAAATTCGAATCAGAGGCGAGGACGCCCCTGACCGCTCATTCACTCACACACCCATTCCACAAAGGACACAACAAAGGAGCGCGGGGGAGCCTTATCCAACCCAGTGACCGTCTCATATACCTCATATGAGACTGAACACTCAGTTCTCCCCTTATACCACCCCGTCAACCTCTATAACGAGGCAGGGGCTAATACCCACTCGACCTCGAACGAGATGGGTATTTTTGATTAGGCGCGCACTTACCTTTCCGTGCGTCCCGGTGGCCACCGCTTTCTGAAGGGGAGTTCGGAGGTCGTCTCCCAGACACCGCCCCGCGTGGGCGCCAGTTGCGGGGGGCCCCGCCAGACCACTCTCCGGCCTGCGGAGGTGGCCCTAGGATCCGTAGGTGCTGGGAAGGACCGACCGAATGAACACGAGACACAAGAGACAGAATGCAGCTCAGAAACAGAGAGAAAAAGGGACAGGGCTTTATTGGGGGCAATCAGGGTATATATCCATTAGTGAGGCAGCTACACAAAAGGTCGTGCCCATATATGGTTAGGAAGGTTTGTTTTCACCTATCATGCATTACAAGGTTTATGTGTATCTGGTACCAGACACGAGGTGATTACACAAAGGGCCATGTCCATATGATTTACCAGACATGAGGTAGATACACAAAGAGCCATGTCCATATGATTTATAAAATTTACATGCATCACATACCAGACACGAGATAGTTACTTCTTGTTATTACTGACAGCCATGACAGATGTTCTCTCAGGATAACCATACATCAAGATAACCATACATAGCACTGGTTTTGCCTGTTGCAGGGTCACGTAGGTCAAGATGACCATACATAGCACAGGCTGTGCCTGCCGTGGGGTCGTAGGTCAGGATGACCATACAGGCACTTAGGCCTTGGTCAGTTAAAGGGCCAGCTTCCCACACACCATCTCGCCAGAAATTCCGACTTTATCTTTATCCTTTCCCTCCGTTCATTCCACTCTATTTATGTTTTAGATTCCTCAAGGATGCCAAGTATGCTCTGTCATAGAGTCCTGCTTTTGTTGTTTGTTTTGGGGCCACATCTTGTGATGCTCTGGGGGTACGCCTGCCTCTGCACTCAGGAACCACCCCTCGCAGTGCTCAGGGGACCATATAGGATGCTGATGATAGAACCTGGGCTGGTCATGTGCAAGGCAAGTTCCTTACCCGATGTACTCTCTCTTCAGACCCAGCCCTGCATTTTCTATTCTCAATGACCTGATAGTACTTCACCCAGAAAGCCAAGGGGCGTACAGCTTTCCATTCAGATTTCTACTCAACTTCTTCATCAGTAAGTTTTTCTTGGACCAGTTGATAAAAGAGCACCCATTCCTCCTCTTCAACACTCCTCCCTTGGAGTCCTTTTTCTATTTACTCTTTGAAATTCTTTTTCTTTATTTTTTGCTTTTTTGGGTCACACCCGGTGTTGCACAGGGGTTGCTCCTGGCTCGTGCACTCAGGAACTACTCCTGACAGTGCTCAGGGAACCATATGGGATGCTGGGAATCAAACCGGAGTCAACCATATGCAAGGAAAACACCCAACCTGCTGTGCTATCACTCCAGCCTCACTCTTTGAAATTCTTATCCATATGTAATGTACTGCACACTGACAGGAGGAATTTTTTTTCTCAGTGCTGAATCTACCTAGCCCAGAAACTTCCTTACTCTTGCTAGACTCGGCAAAATTAGTTTTTTTGAATAAAGAAAAGGGAGGAGGTGAAATTTTATAAGGTTCACAAAATAGATAACACATTAGCGGACTTAAGACAGATGAAAGGTATTAAACAGATAAGGTGGACAGAATTTCCGTAAAAGGGGTGTTCAAAGGCAATGCAAACTAAAACCACATAATTTACTTAACACAATCTGTGTACTAGAGGATAGGGAAACCGTAAGGCTCAATTATAGCAGAAATCTTCCATAGTAAAGAGTTAATTAACACACTTTAAAAAACAGAGAGTTCTTTAAGGGCAGCGATCATGTTTTACTCTTTCTTTGCTTAGTTCTAAATAATCAGCAGTTATTATACATAAAATAATTGCAGATACTCGGCGATTTGTAAATGCATATTATTAGCCAGCAAGTAATCCCTTTGCTTTTTAAAACCTAAGGTGAATATTTTTTTCATTGAAAAGTTAGTACACTTTTAAAAAAAAATTTAGATCCAAAGGGACCAAGAGATCATCAAATTCAGCTTTTCTACAACTTAACTGGGAAAACTGAACTATAGTGAGGTTGATTACCTGAGAATGGAACCAGATGGTTTGCAGTTAAGATCTAGAACAACTACTTTGACTCATTTTGTGCCATTTTCTTGAAAGAAGAGTTCTCAAAACTCATCTATTGAAATGATAACCACTCATACATTTTGATGTATCTTCGAGAAACCCTGGTCCAAATCTTGTACAAGAAATCCTTACAGTAAGAAGTTTAAATTAGAAAATAATTTTAAGTTTAATGTGAAAGCAATCTACGTACGTATAAATAGGAATATAACCACATTCATTTTGTGATCGCCAAATCATAGAATAGTATGAAGCACTTAAAAATGAACACAATTTGATGTGTACTAACATAGAACCTTTACCACACTGTTAAAAAAGGGGGGGGGCGGTGCAACGCGGTTAGCAGAATGACACACATAGGACGACTGTATCTTGAAACCGAGCAAGTCCGTTGCTAGGCGCGTTGCCAAGGCCGGGGGCGGGGGCAGTGAGAGCTCCCTAATGTGGGCCAGGTGTGTCCATGGAAACCTCGCCCAGGGAACACGTGGCCAATCAGAGTGGGACTGGGAGGGCTGTGGGGGCGGCAGCCAGAGCAGAAAAAAGACAGCCTGCAGGCCCACTTCTTTTTTCCTCCTGGCTCTTGGACTTCCTCGCTCTCTCGGAATTTCCAGCACCAGGTAGGGCTCTGCGTCCCCAGGGCCTGGCATGGGCAGGTGGCTCGGGGCCAGCTCGGCCCGGTGGAGGTTCGGGTCAGGCCGGACTCCGGCGCCAGGGCAGCAATAAGGAGAGGGGTGCAGGGGGGCACTGTGGCCGCGGCTGGGGGCTCGGAGACTCTCGGTGCAGTGGGGGAGCTCCCAGCGACAGGCCCAGAGCACGGGGGTCGCGCGCAGGCGCTGGGAGACTGGGGGAAGGGCCCGGGGGACGGACAGCGAGGCGGGGGTGTAACGGGGGTCCGAGAGCCCCTCTGCCCACCCCCTTTATTCTATTGGCAAGTTGAGGTGTAGGCCTGCTTCCACTCCGAATCTTCCCCCCCTCCCCCGGCGGTGCCTGGGGACCGAGGGGGCGTCTGGCACCCCAACTGGGTCACCCACGTGGCAGGCTCAGCCCCGCCCACGGGGTCTCCATTGCAAGGGCCTGGGGGCGTAGAGACCAGGGTGCCTCCAGCGGGTGGGCCCTGTTCCCCCCCACCGCCCCCGCCTGGGGGCCTGGGGGCGTGGGGGCGTGGCCGCATTGTTGAGACGCCAGTGGGCGTGGCCTCACCTGGGCGCATCGTGGGGGCGTGGCCCCCGTGAGCCTCGTGCGGGTGTGACCCCGGCAGCCTGGGGGCATGGCCGGCCTCACCTCTGAAGCGCTGGGGGCGTGGCCTCCCCGTGAGCTGCCTAGGGGCGTGGTCCCCCATGAGCCTCCTCGTGGGGGCGTGGCCCCATAAGCCTCGTGTGGGTGTGGCCTCACCCTTGAGCTGCTTGGGGGCATGGCCTCGCCCTTGAGCCGCCTGGGGGCGTGGCCTCACCCTGCTCCTCCTGGGGGCGTGGCCTCCCCGTGAGCTGCCTAGGGGCGTGGTCCCCCATGAGCCTCCTCGTGGGGGCGTGGCCCCGTAAAGCCTCGTGTGGGTGTGGCCTCACCCTTGAGCTGCTTGGGGGCATGGCCTCGCCTTTGAGCCGCCTGGGGGCGTGGCCTCACCCGTGCTCCTCCTGGGGGCGTGGCCTCCCCGTGAGCTGCCTAGGGGCGTGGTCCCCCATGAGCCTCCTCGTGGGGGCGTGGCCCCGTAAGCCTCGTGTGGATGTGGCCTCACCCTTGAGCTGCTTGGGGGCATGGCCTCGCCCTTGAGCCGCCTGGGGGCGTGGCCTCACCCGTGCTCCTCCTGGGGGCGTGGCCTCCCCGTGAGCTGCCTAGGGGCGTGGTCCCCCATGAGCCTCCTCGTGGGGGCGTGGCCCCGTAAGCCTCGTGTGGGTGTGGCCTCACCCTTGAGCTGCTTGGGAGGATGGCCTCGCCCTTGAGCTGCCTGGGGGCGTGGCCTCACCCGTGCTCCTCCTGGGGGCGTGGCCTCCCCGTGAGCTGCCTAGGGGCGTGGTCCCCCATGAGCCTCCTCGTGGGGGCGTGGCCACCGTAAGCCTCGTGTGGGTGTGGCCTCACCCTTGAGCTGCTTGGGGGCATGGCCTCGCCCTTGAGCCGCCTGGGGGCGTGGCCTCACCCTGCTCCTCCTGGGGGCGTGGCCTCCCCGTGAGCTGCCTGGGGCGTGGTCCCCCATGAGCCTCCTCGTGGGGGCGTGGCCCCGTAAGCCTCGTGTGGGTGTGGCCTCACCCTTGAGCTGCTTGGGGGCATGGCCTCGCCCTTGAGCCGCCTGGGGGCGTGGCCTCACCCGTGCTCCTCCTGGGGGCGTGGCCTCACCTCTGAGCTGCGGGTGGGCGTGGCCTCCTCGGGAGCTGCCTGGGGCGCTCAGGGTGGAGTCTCTGCGCAAAGAGCAAATGGAGCAAAGAGCCGCACACCTGCGGGTTGCCCGAGGCTGCCCCGGGAGGCCCCGCCCCGTGGGTCTGTCCAGCGCCCCTCGGGTCAGTGTGTGTGGAGGGTGCCTGATCCTCGGGGGCGGGCAGGTCGTGGCTGGGCCTGGCCCTCGGGGAACGACGGGTCGTGGCTAGGCCAGGCGGGCGCCAGGCTCAGGGCTGGGGCAGGGTCCCCGCACACCCGCCCCCACCCGGTTCAGCGCCCAGGGAGGCCCGGTCCACCTTGCCACTGCCCGGAACTGCCCCTGCCTTTCATCGTTTTAAATCGAGCTCTTTTTTTGCTTTTCATTTTTACCTTTTGCATTGGATCACAGTGAGTTGTTGTTGTTGATGGTTGGATGCCAGCCCCGAGATCCGAGCATCCCCCCCCCCCCACCCCGGTCCCCTCTGCAGCTCACACTTCTCACCTCCGGCGTCCCCAGCTTCCCTCCCAGGGCCAGGGATGTCCTTGCGTGCCCCAGACACGGGCCTCACCTGACTCGGTGCGTGCTTCTTCACTAGGGTCCACTGGGAGCTGTGGACGGGCTCCAGAGGATGAGGCCGGAGCGCCTGGGCTTCCAGGTAGGACTCCTGCTGGCCTCTCACTCCCCTTTGGCGTGGTGACCAGGGTGACCCTGAGACCGTCACTGCCCTGCCCTAGCCTACGGGTCTCAGGGGAGCAGCTCTGAAAGACCGTGGACTGCAGAAGGGAGCACTCCTTCCCAGACTGCGTCCATTCTCATTTAATTCACAGTTGCAACCAATCGAAGACATTGCAGTGAGGGTCAGTGGGAAGCAACAGGCTTAGCATGTGGCAGGCCAGGGACTGTAGCATTGCAGGTTCGCTCCCCCCATCTGAGACAGTGGCTCGCGCTCACTGTCAGGTGCAGGGTGGCATGTCCCATGTCCTCATACATCGCTCTGCCTCTGCACAGCGATCAATTCAGTCATAGGAGCATCCAGGTCTGAGAGCACTGGGTGACCACCCCCCCCCCAAGAGGGCTCCAGGAGAAATCCAGAGAGATGGAGTGTGCTGGGCATCATGCCAGTGACCACTTGCAGACATCACTCTAGCCCTTACACACACGTGTGTCCTGACCATATCCATCCGTGGGTTTTCAGCCACCATTACAGGCCTGTTTCCTAGGTTTTCCTGGCAGCCTCCAGAACCCTGGCATGCATGCGTGGCTTGGTGCTCATCATGTCCCACCAGAGACCCACATGGCTGCTCCTGCCGCAACACTGTCAGCTTCCTGTTCCAGAGTGCCTGAGTGGAGGCGCTGTGCAGGTCAGTCATCGCCGATCACACACAACGCAGGTGTGTCACATGCTCATTTTCACATCACGTGGACAAGTTTTGTCCCCTTCAACTATGGTTAATCTTTTCTAGTTTTTACACTGGCTAAGTATGATTCAGGAATGAAGTGTCTCTTTATACAGCGAAATCTGTGTTGTGTACAGAACCTTGCTGCATGTCTTCTGTGTGTGTTCATTTACATCCTACAGCTGTTTCCTGGGCTGTTCATTGACATCACTATAGACCATGATAAGAGATTAGATTTTAAGAAATCCACCATTTGCATCAATAGGGCGTAACAGTTGCCGGGCTCTAGCTTTTTTCCCCTAAAGTCCTGGTACTCTGGGACCAGACCTACACATTACGGGGTGCTGGTTGTCTCATAGGCCTCCAGATCACCCAGTTTCATCCTTTATACATGTCCTCTGAATAGCACTGGGATTCAATTCCGAGCATATGCACAGGGTCAGGCATTGACCACCTGGGGTATGGTCCAGAAATGCCTCCTAAGGCAGGAGTGTGGGACCTCTGCTTCCCTCCAGGTGCCGCAGATGGGCCCATGGTAGCCCCAGGGCACTCTTGGCCACTGGAAGCACAGAGTGGGAAGGTCAGGAACCCCCAGGCTTGCACATGACCTTGCTGTGGTTGGGACCTACGTGCCAGAGACTTTGCTCTGGATCTTGGATGTGCAAGGGCTGTGCCCCCTTGCTGAAGTGTTTTCTTCTTTGCATTTTTACCCTTGATTTTAAATGAGTGAGAGTCCAGGCAGCACACACTGCAGCTTTTGGGAGGTTGGAACTTCATCCCTGCCACTGACTTCACAATCCCAAGCCCAGATCCAGGTGTTACCCCTGAGGGCTGGTGTGCTTTGAGTACAAAACCATGCTAGAGTAAATGGATTTATTTTCCTTTTGATTTTGTTAACAGTTTTTCCTCTTGTCCTGTAGAACTTCCGTGTAATTCTCACATTGCTGAGTGAGTTGTAGTGCAGATTCTGTAGATCCCACTTTCTCTGCCTGCCCAGGGTCTTGCGTTCACTCACCTTTGATCATTGATGCTGTGAATAACCACGTACAGCTCTTTGCCCACAGTTGAGTTCTGCCCCTTGTCGAGCTCTTTAGACTCCTAGTGAAGTGATAGGAGGTAGAGGACCTGTCTGCACTTCCTTAAGCAGCATTGCCATTATTGCTTTGCCTGTTGCGTTTGCTTTGCATATTCTATTGCTGTATGATCTTATTTCAGGTGTTTTTTGGTGGGGCACAATGAGCTTGAGAGAACCAGGCACTGTTACCAGTGTGTGTCATTCACTGACTTTGAAATTGTCATGATACTCAGGTTGCTGTTGGGAAATGATGGGTATGACCTACGGTCCTTTTGTAGTATCCATTGTCTTGCTCAACTCTTTATTCGCATATAAAGCCACCGAGTGGTCCAGTCTGCTGCTGTGACGTACTATTACTGTACACTTTTAACCGTTGCAGCGTCCTTTTATCGTGAAGTTCACCTCATGACTCGCAGTTGTTCAGATTGTATTTCCGTTTAAAGCAGTAGCCCCGCACTTTAGCTGTGTGCGTTTCTGCTGTGACAGTGGTGTTTCTGCTATGTGCAGAAACCCTATGTCACTGCAAACTTTAATTCTCTGATTTTCCTCCTTCTGGTTTCAACATTCTTAAAACCTTCTGGCAACATACCTTAGTCTTGTCAAAGGACTGGAAGGTACTCCCCGTCTTTGGAAGTATTTTGGCTGATTATTACCCTGAGTAACAAATCCCCAGAACACACTCACCCTTGGAGTTTCACTCACTCTTGCACGTGTACTTGCTTATGTGTTTTCAAAAGGCCGACAGTGCTCTCTCTCTCTTGCCACCCACATTCAGTGGTCTCTGGCTGCTTCCCCCACCCCAGGGAGGCCTACAGTGATAGGTAGGTGAAGGAAGGAACGAGGGTCAGGCTGGTCGGTAACAATTGTAGTTTATTACAATCTTCACTCCCCTTCCGCTGCTCTCCCTCTCTCTCTCTCTCAAACCCGCGCCCCTCTCATCTCTGACTCTGCCCCCCTGGAGCCCGAGCCCCCTCCGATCTTACAGTCTTAGTTTATATAGCAATCACATAGGGTGGTGACACAAATGTGGGTTGAACATTAACAAATCAACAGAGAGAGGTAAGGCCACTCCTCCAGGAGATTAACTCAAGGATAAAATCTCATCTAAAATGATGACTCCAGATGACTAGGAGATCCACTTAAGGGTGGGATCCCAACAAGGATGTGTTCTTTCCTCAGTAATCCACTTAAATAGTTGTAGTAAATCTACTTTCAATATTTCAAGCAATGTCATTCTGGAGGAGCACAGTAAGAGATATAAACTTAAGGTTTGGTTCTTCCTGAGGACATCTCATGATATATTCTGTAATATATATTCAATATATAATATTGAATTATTAATATATAATAAATTATAACAATATATAATAATAAATTATAACAATATACAATATTGTTATATATAACATATATAAAAATAAATTATAACAACATTATAAATATATAATAATTATAATATATAATATATAAATGTATATAAATAAAAACTACATAATATATAATAATATATTATCATAATATAGAATAAGAATAAATATATAATAATATATTCAATATATAACAATAAATTCACTATATATTCAAAATATATATATTACAGTCCTCAGGCCAGGCTAGCCTTCCTAGCCTCAGCAGGGTCCTAGTCTTGCTGTTACTTACTTTTGGATCATGACAGCATTTGTCCATGGTCATGCCCTCAACTTATAGTTGAGTATCGTAGCGCTTTGGCCTGGCCCATTTCGATGCCAGGGTAGCTCACCGCTTGCCCTGAGTTCATTCAGTCCCTCGTTGGGACCCTGCTTTTGAGGTGCCAGGAACTAAGGGCAACAAAGTCAAGAAAGCAGATGCCCAGGAGTAAATATTATTTGTAGTCAATCAACTCCCAAGTTACAAAAGTATAACATTAACTGTCTTCCTGTGTCCATACAGAAAGGACATTGCTTTGAGACTTAACTTACAAGTTCAGTGTTCTTAGAAGGATCTGACCTTATAAGCTAACAGAATCTGATTAGGGAGAAAAGGTGATTAGCCGATTGGGGAGGAGAGCACAGAGAAGAGTTTGCAGATAAATACTGACAAATGGAAGTGACTGTGATAGGCGTAACCAATAAACATAAGCTCCCTGTGGCAATGTTATCCTACATAAGCCTGCAGAGCTCACCCCCTGGGTATGATCGCCATTGCTTTATTTCCTGTGTTTGGCCACAGGAAGTTTCAGGGATAGCATGCTGTCATCTGTGTGTAACATAGCTGTCCTTGCACTGAAAATTCATCACATTTTCCCACAAGGAGCTTCCTGGGAAGCACCATCTGTATTTTATGACAGTGAGCCCTGAAGAGCTTTTCAGGACTTAGCAGCTCCATGACAAGCATACTTTGAAAGACCACTGTCAACATACGTAATAGGTCTCTCTCTCTCTCTCTATATATATATGTATATGCAATCTATGTATACAAAAATATATGTAATATTTCTGATGGATTTCTACTTTCACAGTGAGTCCTCGAGTTTCTTTTGGGGAGTCCAGACTAGTTGCATTCCTGTATGGATTTGCCACCCCTGCTTGTGTGGCATGCCATCCTCTGTTTCCATGTATTATCCGAGTATGCTTTCATCCTCTACTGAGACTGTGTTAGTAGTTGCAGCAGTGTCAGTGTTTTGGATTGTCTGCCACTGCATTCGTCCTGAAGGATGATTCATCTATGGACTGGTTCTCTCAATATGTGGCTTTGCGAGTTTTCTCCCTTTTTTACTGCCTTAGAAGTGGGCCAGAGAGGAAGTCCCAGTGAGGGAGGGGAAGTGAACTGGGGAGGCCCGTGTTCTCAGGGCATCCATCGATCCTTGAGAAGGTGCATTCATGACACCATTCTAGGCACATAATCAATTTGTGTCAGAGCATTCACTGTGAGTATGAACACTTGGGAGGCCTTTATTTCTTTTCTCAGTTTACTCTGTGCCTTTTGTCAACTTTCAGTGAAATCAGACACTTTGGGTAGACTCCTGCAAGTTATGTGTGTATGGTCAAGTCTGTGGTCTGTGCATGGACATTTCTGTTGCTCTACTCGGCATTCCAGAAGTAACTGAGGATCACTGCTGGTGAGTGAATGGAGGGGTGTTAGCTGGGTTCCTATTCTTACTCAGGACTGCCTCGTGGACTGTTGCACGTCTGTTATGATGTTGGCCATTGACTTGTATTCTGGACTTCCTGGAGGAGCTGGACTTTGTGTGGTTGGGTTGCTGTTGCAGTGTGTGATTTATCACCACCAGATGGTAGTCAGGTGTTTTACGTTTCCGTTACAGTTTGGCTGTGGTCTTTCACCTGAGCGGGGACCACCCACCCATGATCACTGCGTGTGTTTCGAGGAGACTAATAAAAGACTACAAAACCTGTGCCTGGATCTTTTCATTTATTAACTTGTGTAATTAACTTTTGTAATGTTTGTTTGTGCTATTGCCCCTGTGCTGCTCCCATATATTTATGCACTGTGTTTGTGTGTGCTTCACGGTGCTGCTGCTTTTGCTGTTACGTTTTACTTCATGGCTGAGATGATCCTGACTTAGTGTTTCTGAACATTGGTGTGGGTACATTAGATTAATGTTACAGTGCTTACATGGGGATGTCAAGATTGTGGTTACTGATTCTTAAAACACTCACTGAAACTGGGATCACAGGATACAGGTGAAACAGGTGGTCTCGATAATTCATTGCTCACATAAGATGCATTTGCAGAAATCACCTTGTTTCCAACCAGCTGCTGAAAACAAGATTCAAATTATTACTCATTCTCACATGTGTTGTGGTTTTCATGCTTTGGCTTTGACTTAAGTAAGCCATTGCTTAACATGTAGTGCTGACCATTTTTCTTGAATTCTCTATGCGCCCTATTTCTTGTTTTA